CTGTTCCCACGGGGGCTGCTGCAGCGTCTTCTGGCCCACGTGGTCCAGGCTGTGAGAGAGCTTGGCCACAGCAAGCCTTGGGTTCCCCAAGTCTATCTGGGGAGCAGGAGCGAGCAGGTGGGGCTTGGGGTGGGCAGCCGCCTTGTTCACCCTGGGAGCCCTTCTTCCCCTTGCACAGAAGCCCCTCCTCCTCTCTGCGCTTCCTTCTGTGGCTCTGACCGCTCCTGCCTTTCTCCGCCCCATGCTTGCCTCCCATTCCGTCCTGTATTCCCCTCTCTCAGCCCAGTTTGGAGAAGCCCCTATCGTGTGCCAGCCACTCTGACAGTCTCATTAATTCTCCCTGCCATACAATGTTCCCCCCCTTTTCTGTCTCTCCTTCATTCAGCAAAAATTTATGAAATGCCTAGCGTATACCAAACACATGGGGTCCGGTTACAAGAAAAAAAGTGGGGACAAAAATCCCTCATGGAACTTATTTTCTAATATAAGGGAAACCAGACAATAAATAATAAACACAATATAAAGAAATTATATGGTACTTTAGAAAGTGCTAATTGCTTTAGAAAAATTCAGAGCAGGCTAAGGGGGCCAAGAAATGGCAAGGCAGAGAAGCACTTGTTAAGAAAGTGGGCGGGATGGGGCTTCTCACATAGGTGACATCTGAACAGAGACTTGAAGGAGATGAGAGATGGATGTGAGTATCTGGGTGAACAGTGTTGCCCCTGCGACCGAGGCCCCAAGGTGGGATGGTGCCCAGCAGGTTCCTGGCAGCAGGACAGGGTCAGGGCAGGAGCCTGGGAGGTCATGGAAGGGCTTGTGGGCTACGGCAAGGCCTTTGTTCTTTACTCTGAGTGAGATAGGGGCATCAGAGTGCTCTGGGCAGGACTGGATGTGGTCCACGTTATTTACAGGATCCCTCCAGCTGCTGCCTGGAGGGAAACAGGGTGCAAGCAGGTAGCTGTTTGAGGAAATGGAGGTTCAAAGCATCTTTTGCTCCATTGTTTGTGGGTGTTGAAGCCAAGACTGGAATCCCGTGCTCTTTGTCCTGTACCAGCCTCTTCTCCCTGGTGCCTGAGGCCCCAGGGGGCTGGCCTCTCGCCCAGGTTCTGAGGGAGAGTAGGATGGGCATGGGATGTAACCTACTGTCCCTTCCCTCTGCCCCTTGATGGTCTCTGAGGCACTGAGTCAGGGAGGTCCCATCTCCCCTGGGAACCTGCCCCAGGCCTGCATGGAGGTGTGGGAGGTGTGAGGCCCCAGAAGCCGGGCCCAGCTTGCGCACCAGGGGAACCGGGGCATGCCGGGGCCGTAGCTGTGGTGGCGGGTTGCTAGGTGACTCTGAGAGGGAGCCCTGGTTACTGCTGCCTGGTAGAGGCGTCTCCCTCACCTCCTCCGTGGCCTCTGGCCTCCCAGGAGGCCTTGTGGGCGAGATGTGATCGGCGCTTGCCACTGGATCTTGGCCGGGAGCTCTGATGGGTACCAGGTGGCTGGGACCTGAGTAGCCAGAATGGGCTGCAGGGCCTGGCCTTGCCTCCTGGGGCACAGCCCTGGTGCACACCTGGTGAAGAGCCTGGCTCAGCAGTCCAAGGCCTAGGTCCTCGCCCGGCTCTGGGCCACCTCCTTGGGTGACCCTGGGCAAGGCACGGCACCTTTCTAGGCCTCAACTGCCCCATCCATCTGGCCTGCAGAATCCCTCCCCAAGGGCCTCGTTTTCAGTGAGAGTGCCAAGGGAGGGTGCCGAGCAGACAGGGCTCCAGGTACCCCTGCCCCACCTCCGATGGCCTGAGTGTTGAACACTCAAGTTTTGCATTAGATTCCATTCACTAAAAAGGTTCCACTACTTTAAAAAAAAACAAAAGTTTGAAAACCTCTGGACTGAATGATTCCAAGAACTTTTTATTGTCAGACTGAAAAGGTGCCTAGAATCCAGTGGCCCATCTCATCAATTTATGGGGAGGGAAACAGGCCCAGAGAGGAGGAGGGACTGGCCCCAGGTCAGGCTTGCCGGGGAAGGAGGGCCACCAAGCTGGGGGTCAGGAGGCCTGGGCTCGAATCCCTGGGTGAACTGGGGCAAGTCCTTTTTTCTCTCTGGGTCCGACCAGCTGTGGTTTTGGGCTGGGGCTCAGGGGTACCTGGCTGGGCAGGGAACAGAGCGGGGAAGGATGCAGACCTTCATAGGCCTGGAACATGTGTTCTTGGTGGTAATCTAAAACATTTTTATTGATATTCAGAAAATTTGGAAGTATTATGGAGTACAGTGCAAGATTCCTTTGAATTCTACAAAGGAAGCACAAGACTTGTAGGAATTTTGACCTTGTAACATGCCCCCAGCTTCCCATACTGCCAGCTTCTAGGGTTGGTTACGTCATGGAAATTTTCAGAAGAAATGGAGGACTGGTTTCCTAAGATTCTTTGGAAGTTCTCTGACTTGTTCTCTCTGCCGTGGTGGAACGTGAGGTCCTTTAGACTCAGAACGAGACTAACCTGAAATCAATGCCTGGCTCTGCCACTTAAACTGTGTGATCTTTTCAACTTACTTAACCTCTCTGAGCCTCACTCGCCTCATCTTGAATAGGGCTCACAATCCCTGCGTGGTATGGAGACTGATAGAATGTATTCTATCAGTACTTCCAGTACTCAGGGCTGACCTGGCAGGTACTCAGGAGGTGCCCGTACTTGGCGGTGTCCTTCCTCCTCCCCCCCACCCCCAAGCACTCAGAACCGGGCTGGCACATGGTGACACTGATAAGGAGGTGTAGCCTGACTGACCTCCAGCTGGAGAAGCTGGGAGGTGGAGCCTCTGGTAAGGCAGATAATCCCCCAGGGGAGGAGAACTGAGGCCCCCCCCCCCAACCAACACAGGTGTTGGGAAGGGGCTGGGGAGCCAGGTGCAGGGGTGGGAGCAGGAGAGGGGCTTTCTACTCCAGGGGGCACCACTCCCTGGGGGTCCAGCTCCCCTCCTCTCAGGGCCCCAGGAGAAGCCAGGCAGGACTATGCTGGGACGGGCCTTGAAGCCCTAGCTGTTATCTCCCAAGACCAGAACGTGCTAGAGATAGGGAGCCTGGGGCCCTGAAGAGTCAGGTGAGTACGTGGAACTGGGGGTGAGGGGTGGGAGGGTGCCCTGGGAAGCAGGGAGTACCCCTCCTTCTGGAGACAGGCGGGAAGGAGGCAGGAGGGAGAGCCCTCGCGGATCAGAGGTTCTGGAGCTGGGCGGATGAGAGCAGGTCCGTATGCCGGGCAGATCTGGAGTGGTACCTGGCATTGCCGCCTGTGGGACCGAGGGCAAGTTACATCATGCCTCTGGCCTCCATTCCCTGGTACATGAGATGGGGTAATGCCAGCTCCCCAAAGTTGTTCGGGCCCAGCGCAGTTACACTCAGGGCCTGATACTAAGGATTGTAGAGACAGAGCGGGTCTATGGAGTGATCTAAGAAGTGAGGTCTTCTGGCCAGAGTGAGGGATTTAACCAGCATTTATGGGCACCTGGTGTGTTCACCAAACACCCACACACGTTATCTCAGGTAATGATCTAACAGCCTTCTGAGGTGGTTACTGGATGTCGCCCATTTTTTTCAGAGGAGCTCACTGAGGCATGGGCTCCTAGAGATTGAGTCAATAGCCATGGTCCCATAGCTAGGTGGCTGAAAAGAGCCAGGCATCCTGCCCAGCCCTGCAGATACCCAAACCCCTGCTGTTTCCACAGCAGAACCTGAGCCAGGAGGTCCAGGCCACCAGCAGGGAGGCCTCAGAGGTGGGGCATGGTAGGCCCTGCAGAAGTTCTACTCCTCCAGGTTCTTGTGGGGAGCCAGGTCAGTGGAGCTGTGGACTCCCCAGCCTTCCTCTGTCCCCAGGACAGGCCTGGCAAACGCAGGCAGTGATATGGGGCCCAACAGAAATTTAGAAGAGGATATGTGTAGGTGTGCCTAAGGTGAAGCCCAGGGAAGGACCAGGGGCAGCCGAAGGGCTCTGTGGCCTTGGGCAAGCCACTTCACCTCTCTGAGCCTCGGTCTTCTTGTCTGTAAATGGGCCTGATGCCATGTGCTTTGTGGAGATTTTGTGAAGGTTCCACCAGGAAGGGGCTTTGAGGGCAGAGCTACTCTGCATCAGGTGGGTGGGGAGGGGAGGGGAGGGAGGGCTGCAGCCCAGAGGGGACCTGGGCTGACCTGAAGGTGGGCAGTGAGCAGAGGCGGGGTCTGGGGTCTTCATGGCCAGTGGATGTGCTTTGAGGGGCTTGCTGGGATCCAAGGCCTCTGTGGAGTTCACAGAAGCTCAGAGAAGTTGGGGGAAAGTCTGGGCCTCTACCCACCTTGGGGACACCCAGCCTATTCTGCTTTCCCTGGTCAGGCCCTCCCAGCAAAGGGTTAACAGTCTTCTCTACCTGCAGTTGCATTTTAAAGACACGAAATTAAAGCAGGTAATTTATTCTCCCCACACACGAAAGAGCAATTAGTTCTAAACAGGGCTTAATCAGTCACCGCGAGATGGATTTCTGGAGCCCTGGGTTTTCGGGCTCCTGGCACCATGCCAGGCTGGCAGGGTGGTGGGGAGCGGACAAATGAGCCGCAGCGGCATGAGCCCTTACATAATCTGCTAGGGGGCCCTGGCAGCCTGGCTAGCCCCGGGCGGGGCTTGGCTGAGTTGGGGGTGGGGGGGTGTCTTTGCTCCCCTGCTGCAGGTCCCTTAGCAGTTGCCTCCCTGGAAAGGCTAGACCCAAAGCTCTGGCCTCACCCTACAGACAGTGCCTGTGTGGGGCAGGGGAGCGGGAAGGATGGGGCGGGTCTGGGGTAGAGGATGGATAGTCTGAGTTTGTCCGACCTGGTACTTACACCTGTTCCCCCCTTCTTCCCTTTACCCTTTCGTCTTCCCTATTTCCTCCCCCTCCGCCTTTTGGCTCCTCTCCCGTTCTCTTATACTCTCACTTCTCTATTTTCTCCCACTCCTCTTCCCATCAATTACCCCCTCACTTCCCACTCCCCCACCCCTATCCTTGTCTCTGGCCACAGAACTCCATCCGGCACAACCTGTCTCTGCACACCCGGTTCATCCGCGTGCAGAACGAGGGCACAGGCAAGAGCTCCTGGTGGATGCTGAACCCTGAGGGCGGAAAGACGGGCAAGACCCCGCGGCGCAGGGCCGTGTCCATGGACAACGGGGCCAAGTTCCTGCGCATTAAGGGCAAGGCCAGCAAGAAGAAGCAGCTGCAGGCACCGGAGCGAAGCCCCGACGACAGTCCCCAGGGCGCGCCAGCCCCGGGACCCGTGCCTGCCGCGGCCAAGTGGGCCACGAGCCCGGCCTCGCACGCCAGCGACGACTACGAGGCGTGGGCCGACTTCCGCGGCGGCGGGAGACCCCTGCTCGGGGAAGCGGCCGAACTGGAGGACGACGAGGCCCTGGAGGCCCTGGCGCCGTCGTCGCCGCTCATGTACCCGAGCCCGGCGAGCGCGTTGTCGCCCGCGCTGGGTGCGCGCTGCCCGGGGGAGCTGACCCGCCTGGCCGAGCTCGGGGGCCCGCTGGGCCTGCACGGCGGCGGCGGGGCGGGGCTGCCCGAGGCGCTGCTGGACGGCTCGCAGGATGCCTACGGGCCGCGGGCCCGCGCCGGGACGCCCGCCTACTTCGGCGGCTGCAAGGGCGGTGCCTACGGCGGGGGCGGGGGCTTCGGGCCGCCGGCGCTGGGCGCGCTGCGCCGCCTGCCCATGCAGACCATCCAGGAGAACAAGCAGGCCAGCTTTACGCCGGCCGCCGCGCCCTACCGCCCGGGGGCGCTGCCCGCGCTGCTGCCGCCACCGCCACCCGCGCCCAGGGCCGGCCCGGTGCTGGGCGCGCCCGGGGAGCTGGCACTGGCGGGCGCGGCCACCGCCTACCCGGGCAAGGGGGTGGCCCCGTACGCGCCGCCGGCGCCCTCGCGCAGTGCCTTAGCCCACCCCATCAGCCTTATGACGCTGCCCGGCGAGGCGGGCGCGGCGGGAGTGGCGCCGCCGGGCCACGCGGCCGTCTTCGGGGGCCCCCCCGGCGGCCTCCTGCTGGACGCGCTGCCGGGGCCGTACGCGGCCGCCGCCGCAGGGCCGCTGGGTGCCGCGCCCGACCGCTTCCCGGCCGACCTGGACCTCGACATGTTCAGCGGGAGCCTCGAGTGCGACGTCGAGTCCATCATCCTCAACGACTTCATGGACAGCGACGAAATGGACTTCAACTTCGACTCGGCCCTGCCGCCGCCGCCGCCCGGCCTGGCTGGGGCCCCGCCCCCCAACCAGAGCTGGGTGCCGGGCTGAGGGCCGCCTCCCGCGCCCTCGGTGCCCTGCCCCGCCCCCCCCCAGGGGCCTCTGTCTTCCCATCCTGATCCCCGGGTCCCCACTCCCATTCCCGCTCCACGGAGGGGATCCAGGAGGCAGCCCTATCCCAGCTAGAGACATCCCTCGGAAGCTGACCGCTGAGGGAAGTGGTAGGGAGGGGCTGGGGCACCCTGCCATTCTTGCCCAGACTCCTGAGACCCGCTCCCCCTACTCCCAAGGGCGGGAAGCCTGGGAGTGGAGGTTGGATTCCGGGCTGGGTGGGAGTAGGGAGGAATGAGGTGGGCCGTGCTAGTCTGGGAAGCCAACCGGGAGGCGGGGCGGGGTGGGGGGGCGTCTCCGAATCTTCAGTTTCCTTTGCGGGGCCCCCGCGTGACGAATCGCCCACCCCAAAGTCGAATCTGATTCCCAATTGACACGTTCCCACTGGTTTTAGCCTCACCCACCCCAAGCCAGGAACCCCTACCGGAAACACACTCACACCTACCTATTGGCTGTTCACCTTGAGCTGTCCTCCGGCCCTAAACCACTCTCCGACCTCCAGCCCCACAGTTCAGCCCCGCCCACCCTCCAGCCCCACAGTTCAGCCCCGCCCACCCATCCTTGCCCGCCTCAGTTTCTCCCCTCCCAGGTGGAAGTACCTCTCCCTTTCCGCCCGTCCCCATACCCCAGTACTGGTCTCAGCCTCCCCAGTGGGCCTCAGCTCCGGATCCACCCCCGCAACCCGACACCCCTTTCTCCGTGCCAGTCCTTGCTCCTCTCTCCCATATTTATAAGTGTCCGGTCGGGGCGGTCTGTGGGCGCGGCGTCCCCGGCGCATATCGTAGGCAGTGTACCGTGGCCGTGCCGTCAGCGTGTGCGTGTGCGTGTGTGCCGTGTCGAGGCCGTGTAGAGTGCATTGTACAGCATATTTTCATGAATAAAATTGTTTTAAATATTTCTCGCGCCTTGGGCTAGTAGGGGGAGCTGCGGAGGACGAGGATAATTGGTAGGGATCATGGAGGCGGGGGTCCCCGTGCCCGAGCCCATTGTGGCTTTGTGTCTGAGTCTGTGTCAGCATTCACTGATGTCTGTCTGCTCAACGCACTGGTTAAGCGCCTACTGAGTTTTGGATGCTGGAGATGTGCCTGTGTGGAGCTCTGCACCTGTTTCTGTGAACATGTGCATGCAGGAAGTTTCTGGCCTGGGGATATTCTGTCCTGAATAAGCTTCAGAGTTGGGAGAGAAGGCACAGATATTAACTGAGAACGTGTTCATGCCAGGTCCTGTATTAGGTATAATTTTTGTTCCCGTTGTACAGATGAGAAAACGGTCAGAGAGGGAAAATGGCTTAGGAAGGCAGGCAGCGATGGTGGAAAGGAGGCCTTTGAAGGCACACAGACTTCTGTTTGAATTTATTCCCTGCTTTTTCCAGCTGTGTGACCTTGGGCAAGTTTTCAGCCTCCACCTTGCTTTCCTGGTCTAGACCACAGGCTAGTACACCTATTGCATGGGTTTCTTGTGAGCAGTAAATGAGAAAACGTATGTAAACTGGCAGCACAGGTCCTGCAACCATTCATTCATCCATGGAAAATTTAGTGAGCACCTGCTATGTGCCAGGTCTTATACCAAGCACTGGGGCTACCATGGAGAGCAACAGAGGCACAACCTCTGCTCTCAAGGAATTTTGAGGCTCGAGGGGGACAGAGATGAGTAAATGGGCGATTTTAGATCAGAGATGTAAAGAATGGAGGAAGCAGGGGGCTGTTGTGGGAATGAATGAGACAGCTGCACCCATCCTGGGCTTGAGGAGTCAGGGAAGGGGCCCGGAGGGGGTGCTGTCTCAGCTGAGCCTTGAAGGATGAGTTGGCATTGGGAAGGGAAGGGATTCAGACAGAGGGAATGGCATGATCAGAGATCCAGAGTCAAGAGATCATTTGGGTTCCAGAACAAAAAGCAATTTAGCATGGCCAAAGCTCAGAGGTGGAAAGATGAACAATGATGGGGAGGCAAGTGGGCCAGAAGGGGCAACAATGGGAGAGGGTCAGTGGCCAAGCCAGAGATGCTGATGGTGACTCAAACCAGGAGGGACAGGGGAGGGAAGTGAGGCTGGAGGGGGAAGGATGGTTCACATGTATTTTGGCTGTAGAGTCACTGAGACGTGGTTGTGAATTGGATATGGGGAATGAGGATCAAATGATGCCTGATTCTGGTTGGGCACTTGGGCAGACAAGGCCATTCACTGAGATGGGGAACTTCAAGGCAGGAGGAGCCCTGGGGAAGATGGTGCGCTCAGCCTCAGACAAGCTCAATTTGAGTTATGCCTTATGGGACCCCTTGAGATTTGGAAGGGATGTTTGGGAGCATATGTACTGTGTGAATGGCATTCCCTGGCATTGGGCAACATGGTAGCCCAGAGATGTCCAGCTGGATAATGGGGTCAGAAGCCCAGGAAGGTGTCTGAGCTGGAGAAGGGAGGTCAGAGAAGTTAAGAGTACGGAGGTTGTCATGGAGGTGTCGGGAGTGGCTTGGCGGGTGGTGCAGAGTGGGACGAACAGGCGACCCAGGTCTGCTCAGAGGAACACCTTAGAGCACCTTGGCACAGGAAGAGAAATGCACTGGCTGAGTAGAAGCAGTGTAGGGACGGGAGGAAGACCAGGACACTGTGGGCTCCTAGGGTTTGTGAAAAGGGCCTGGTCCTAGAAAGGAGTGCCCAACAGTCTTCTTAGAGCCTCACTTTCTTGGTCTGAAAGATGGGGCAGTAGCACCAGTCTCAGATTTGTTTTGAGGAGCAAATAAAATTGGAATTATTCTCTGAGGTCACTCTCCTGGCGAGGGGCAGAGCTGGGGTTCCTGCCCGAATGTGTACCTCCAATGCCCAGGCTGCCCACCTCTGGGGAGGTGGCTGTGAGCAGAGGAACAAAGGAGATCAGAGCCAGCAGGACCTGTACTGGTTCTGGACTCAGTTGGCGGAGGGTGGCGAGACCTCCCTGCGGGGTGTGGTAGGTGTCCTCGCCGGGTGGTGAGCACAGAGATGAGCTCTCCCTTGGGAGTGATGCCCCAGCCCCACCCCACAGTCAGACTCAGGGCCAGCCCAGCTGGGTCTGGGCTCCATCTGGGCTGCAAAGCTGCCCCCACCCTAGGCTGATGGAGGGTGGGCTGCTGTTGTGTGTGCGTGCGTGTGTGCGCACATGCTGGGGGGGGGGCAGGCGGAGTGACGGTTGGGGTCTCCTTGTCTGAGTGTACGCATGCCTGAGCATTTGTGTGTGTGTGTGTGTGTGTGTGTGTGTGTGTGTGTGTGGTGGGAATGACAGAGTTTGCATCTCCAAGTGTGCCCACGTGTGTTCCCGGGGCTGTGGAGACCATTCCTGTGTGAGCTGTGCGCGCTGCATCGCTGCATGCCTCCCTCTCTGGGTGTGTCTGCCTGTCTTGGCGCATCCCTCTCTCCGGGTGGACTAGAGCTGGTGTCCCCCTGCCAGGAGCATCTTCTGGGCAGATCTGCTGCGAGAGGGGAGGGGAGGGGAGGGGAACAGAGGAACACTCCCAACCCTGGGATGGGCCAGACTCTTGTGCAGGGAGCAGCGGGACCACCTCAGAGTAATGGCTGAGCTCCGCCTGGCTCAGGCCAGTGGTAATTCCAGAGACAGCTCTGTCCTGCTGGGACCCATCAGGAGAAAGGGGGCAATACCCCTGCAGCTGGGGGTCCGCAACTGGCCCTTCCCTGCCAGACTTGGAGCCCAGCAGACGCGCCCCCCTTCATGCCCACTCCCTGGGAGGCGTCTGACACATGATTTATTCATAAAAAGCCATTATTTGTGCCAAAGAAGAACCGAGCTGCTCGCTTTTTAAGTGCTGATAATGCTCTCAGACTCCTTGCCTCTCCTCCTCGCCCCTCCCCTCCCATCTTCTCTCTCCTCTTTTCTTCTCTCTCACCATCCTTTCTGCAACTTGCCTTTCTACCCCATTCCCCTCCTGTTCTCCATCCCTTTCTTGTTCTTCTCACATCTCCTCTTCTCCCTTTCTTCATTCCCCTCCCCTCTCACCACATTCACCTCTTCCCCAACCACTGCTCAACAATTCGGGGAGGGAGGCAGGGTCACCAGAGCCTCAGAATCAGTTGTGCCCAGATTGGGGAGGGCCTGGTCCAACCCGGAACCCAGTGCACCCCATCTTCCACCTCAGCCTCCACCTCTTCAGGACCAGGGCAAGGTTGGGAGGAAGGGGAGCAGGCTGAGAGAGGCTGGGGGTCTTCGGAGGCTGTCAGGATCAGCTCCACATACTACAGGGTGTGACTTTAGTGCCCCCGCATCCTGATTAACACCAGACTCCCAGACGGAACATTCAGTCTAAATTAAAATAGTGTACTTGCTACGCAAATGCAGGTTCAGGGCAACTCCCTAGGCCCGCTTTTCCCACCAAATGCCCCATGTAGAAATTATGGGGTCGCCATTATTTAGATGGTACCAGGGGAGTCTGGCTTCAAGGAAGGCACATGGGGCCCCATCACAGAGCACCCACAGAGCACAGGAGGCAGTGGAATGAATATCATAGACGTGAGTGTGCACACACACACAAGGTTCTTAGAAGCAGACAGCACAGATCCACACGTGTATGTGCCCTATGCCTGCACGCGCGCACGCACGCGTGCACAGCCACACACCTACTCCTGCAGACGGAGGGTCATTCCTCCCCGGATCATCTGCAGCGGGAGCTGAAGCTCTTCCCCGTTCAGATGCCCTTCTGGTCGTTCATTCATTTTCTCCATAAACTTTGTTTTCACACCCCCTCTGTGCCAACCCTCGTGCTGGGCATGGGGGTGGCAGAAATGAACACGACTGGGTCACGGGGAGGGGACTGCAGGCTTGGGCTGGGGGTTAGGCGCCCAGCAGGCAAGGGGTTAAGTCATTTGGCTTCCAGAGCTGGAGCCATTAGGCCTCCTAATTATGAAATTATCGAGGTCCTCAGGTGACTGCTAATTTCACACACACTGTTCCTCTCACGGCTAATGAACGCCCGCAGAACCCACGCCTTGTCTTTCCTGCTGAATGGTGACCTGCAGTTAATGAGCTCAGGAAGGCAGACAGGCCGCCGGCTGGATGGGTGGGGCACCAGCCCTGGGGAAGGGGGCGCTCGGCACTCCTGCCCCTCCTGGCTCCCTTGTTGGCCGCCAGCCCCCAGTGAGGACTTCAGGGCCAAAGCCCAGCCCGCAGTTTCTGCAGGACAGGCGAGGCCAGGGGCTCAGGGGAGCAGGGAGGGATGCAGATCTGGGGAGGGCTTCAGGTCAAATGATCCTGGAATGAGCCTGGGAGTG